ATAGTCAAAATCTAAAAAAATATAAGCGTGAATGTCTAAGCTAAGATACAGATGCATTTCTTTTTGTCCACTGATAGATTAGTCATATTATCTGCAGAAACTTTGAGACCTCGATATTGAAAATAAACAACAACAGCTTTCCAGGCCCACTTATTATCGGGACTTTCAATAAACGGGTCCTTAAGCAAAATTAAGATTACTATTCCGGGTGAATCACACGTTCCTTACATATAAGATGGTCTGGCCGTGAAAATGTACTGGGTGCTTTTGTGTCCTACCACCAACTTGTAGGAGATACCACACAACTTTCTCGCCTTTGTACATGGTCAAACCTGGGACATTTCCATAATGATAGCCATTAATAGTATGCTTGTAGTTGCTCTCCCAGAAGTCAAAATTTCTTAGAAGTTGGTCAAGTGGAGGTGGGTTCTTGTCCGTGAGATAATTTCGAATGTTTTCTTCCACGTACCAATTGCGGCTCTCATCAAATATATTGAACATTGTGGCAAACTCTCTATCAACACCTTTCATTTTTCCTTGATCGTCTAGAGTTCCCTTAAAAGTTAAAATTATAATGAAAATATATGTGTTATTTGGAAGGAAGAAAGGAGTTGTGAACAAGAGGACGACAGACGAGCCCTGTTTACAATATAGTATATTAATATGTTAGCAGTAAGCTTGGAAGTCAGCATACAAAGGTGCTACTGGCAGCCGCTATCATAATCTTACTGTACACACCCAACCCATGATGTGAAGGTTGACCACACCACCGAGGTCTACGTCCCCTACTCTTTTTGAACAGTGGCCTGGGTTTTTACGTCCCACAAGAACCAGATACGTTTATGCTGTGAGACGGAACCTACGGTTCCCCGTCCTTATCCGAGAATAGATCCAAGATAGATGTTTCCTTCATCTTGATCCTAGTGGTTTTGAAAAACTCGCGCAAGTTCATAATTAAATTTTACTATAATAAATTGATAGATACATTGACAGAGAGACGGAGAGACAGAAAGACGAACAAAAAGACAGATTGGTTGATTTATAGCTTGATTGATTGATTAGATAGATTGAGATAGAAAAGCAGAAATACCACTCAAACGAAGATGGCAAGTCATAGTGGTTACTTAAGGAATACTGGCTAGACTAAGCATCACTTCATTTTTTGAAAAGCCCAGGTAACAAGCAAATTTTCTGAAGAAGGAAAATTAAAAAAAAGAGCATTTTGTGAGTAGGAATTATTTTTAATGAATAATAAAACAATTAATGGATTCAGCTTTCGTATACTAGGTAGGAAGAATTAGATCGAGGAGGATGTTATCCGCAAAAGCTTTGATAGTAGAATGCAATGGCTCATCCAATTCATTCTACTCAGCCTTACCTTTCTGCAGATGACCAACGCGCCTACCAGTCCAGTGTTGGTGTCTTTAACTGGGTTAACATCTGAATAGTACCCCCATGTCAAGCAATCAGTGTCATTAGGTCCAGGTCCCGCCCTTGAAGGTACTTCCCAGACGTAGTTGTGAATCTTTCCTGGAGCGATCGCATTGTCAGTTAAATCAGCTCCTGTTGTGCCATCCTTGTATTGAGATCCCTCATTTTGTTTACTTGATAGAAAGAAAAGAAAGTGGCGGTAATCTCTTTAATAAGCTCTCTTCTAGTATAAACCTAACCCTTTCTTTATTAAGCCTCCCTCCACCCCTTGTAATAGTCAAATCTTGTAAGTTACCCCGTCTCTAATACGCCCTCCTCCCCACGATGGCCTCGTTTGGACTTGCTCAGAAGTGCAAAGTTTAGTCATCAATATCCTTTTAATAACAGAAATAGGGATGTTGGGAGGGAGAGAAATATAGTAAAGTGGGGAGAGCCGGTTTCAACACCTGTTCAAATATTGGAAGTTGAGATATACTCAATGTCCTTTTGGTTAGACTAAAGTCAAACCTGGGGACCTGGCTTTAAAAAGAATATGGGATTTAAATGGGATTGGTATTATTAAGGACGTAATCCTGAGACTAAAAAAAATCAATGAGGTTTGTTTTACCTGTAAAAAAGTCCATGAGGGTGAATTGAATATTCTCTGGACGCCAAGTTCTTAAAGATAACTTCAATGGTGTCACCCACTTCAGCTTTGATCATTGGTCCCAAAATTCCTAAGTACTCCTCTTCGCTGTTTCTTTGCTTCTTCTGAGTGAAGGTGGCATCTGTGTATTCCCGATAAATTGCCTTCTTAAGTATTCCACCGAGAAAACGTGGACCTGGCAGCCCGTAACGAGCAGCATGTCTGTGCAAAAGAATGTATTTTATAGCACGTAGATTTTTGCGTAACGGACCAGAGGAGCAAACTAGGTTATATATGACAGCTTTATTTAGGTCACAGTACGCCGATAAGTCCAGTTTCGAACTAGATGGACAGTTGGTTAACGAAGCTTTTGTGTGACAGCTCAGATTTAGTGTTAGTAGACTGGAATGCTGACCGGCGAAAATAATAAAATAATTAAGATTTAGCTACAGTCCGTTAAAAAAAGTCGTAGCATTCTGCGAATTTTAATTTCATTCAACAGAGACTTCGCGGGTGATGAAGCCAAATTTGGTTACAATTTTTAGACCGAGAAAACAAACAAAGAAAAATAGGTCCAACAGATGTCTTGTTCTTCTTAGTTTTAAATCTATTACTTTTATAGACAACTGCTAACGCACCCGTTTTTTTTTTCCTGGTATGTATATTGTATCTGTTATGAGTGTGTCTGACCATAATAGCATTTAGCTAATTAGTTAGCTGGCAGCTTGCCAATTTTGACTTTGTCGTTATTTGGGTTGTCAGTGCTATAAAATGTTTTGTCAAGTTAGAGTTGTAATTTTTTGGTAATTACATGCCAAGGGCCTAAATAAAAAATAAAAAAAGATTGTTTTCTTGTTCTTGTTGTACCTTGCTAAAAACAACAACAACAAATGAACTAACAGACAATTAGCAACACTTACGGGTTATCCTTGAGATCAACTCCTTCGATTAAATCCTTTCCAGATGGCGCGTAATCCCATGTTTCCTCTACGGCTGCAATGTAATACCATCTCTTCCGCCCATTCATTGGTTGAACAGCGGAAGAATTCCCACAATCCTTCAATACAGTGTACTTGGCAACAGTTCCGCCTACTAAGTTATCATAAACACGATCAGCTAATTGCCACTCTCCAGGGTTATCTGGAATCATGTGCATCGTAGCTAAGGATCCTGTAGTTATAAAATGGCAAATGAATGGTAATGAAATTTTCAGAACCTTTTTATAGTACTTATTATCGCAAAGCTGAAAGAAAAGATTTTGAATTTCTTAGAAATGGTTGCAAGATGACTGTCGACTAACAATCGCAAATGACATGAACTGTTGTTCTGTGGTAGGTCGAGCTTTGTACGGTTCGACCAATTTATCGCTTGTATGGCCCGGTATGCCTTTCACTATCTTTTCTTGACGGTAAAAATCAGACAAAAATTGATTAGTTTAAAAACTTTGTAGTATTTTTTTTCCACCGCTGACATCAATAACTAGGTACTGTAGGAATGCATTAATCAACAAAACGTTTTGTCAGTAGGGGCTCGTTTCTCGAAAGAACCGGAAACTATTCGGGCACGAAAGCAGATTTTAAAACCAAAACCTGTTAAATAGAAGGGCAGTTCCTTATCCACAAACCAGTCAGTTTTGCTTCGTTAACTAATAGTGTGATTGTATTATTTTCAAAATTATTTAAACTTGGATCTTGGATGCAAACACAACAAACACAAAACAACTTTCCGGTCCCAAAAAGTTACAGGGACTTTCGAGAACAGGCCCCAGGAAATGTAGATCTCGGTGGTTATTATCCACCTCGGACTTCGGTAGGCAATACATCACTACACGATCTGAATTCTTCAGATCATACTCAGCCTCAATCGTAGATACTCTTGTGTTTGGCCATCTTAGCTTAAAAAGTCACATGAGTTCAATGGCGGCAAGACGTGTTTCTGAAACTCCGACTATCAAAGCAAATTTCGCCACGGGCGCTTTACGAAGGTCTGCTTCGTTGCCGGATATCTTCACACAATGTACGAGCGAGTATTTTGCTCACGAAAAACAAGATTCAAGTCTTCGTTGGATACATGCTAGGCCAGAATCATCTTCGTTGCCGGCCAACAACAATCATAGCTGAAATGGTTGCAACTGAAAGCATAGTACTTTCGAGAGAAAGGACGAGATAGTTCCTCCAACTGAGAAAGAAATTGAGAATCGAACCATCCCAGCACTGAAAGACGAACTTGCTAAAAGGAATCTATCAATAAAGGGAAACAAACAAACTCTGGTTTCCCGATTGAAGTCATATTTTTAAAGAACCCGCCAGAAAACGAGTGCAGTGCAGTCTCTGACCAAACTGATACTTCGCTACTGTGTACCGCACGAGACGAAACCAACAATTTAGAGAACTGCCAATGCTTACTCCTTCTATTAGATTTTCAGAATGAAGTAAAAGAAATTAGGGCTAATTCGTCGGGGGCAAATATGCCTAACCTGACTTCTAATAGTGAGCTGACAAAGCTTCAAGATAGAAACAGCGCCTTAAAACAGAGACTTCGCGACGTGGAGGACCGCTACGACTCTTTAAAGCGTGAAGCAAAATCTATTCAAGATGAAAATAAAAGTTTAATGACTACTCTAAAACTTTAAACAACGAAATTGGCAAAGACAGAAAATAGAGGTGGTAGATATGAAAATATCAAAGAGCAAAATTTGCATGATGAGGAAATCCCTTGGGTGACAATACGTGGCAACAAGACAAAGCCCAGAAACAACAAAAGAGAGCGTCAAATACCAGTTGGAAGAAAGAAGCCAGCACGTAATTCTCAAACAGTAAACAACGAGCGGACCACAGTCATCGCTGGAGACTCCATAATAAATAATGTTTGGGTAATAAAATTAGCCAAGGCTGTGGGACATCAGGTTGTTATCAAGCCGTTCCCTGAAGCCACTATTCGCGACATGCGTTCGCATGTTGTTCCTACAATTGAGTCTCCTGATCAAATTTGCCTACATGTAGGTACCAACGCTCTGAAATCATCTGCACCGAGCGATGTGGCAGATGGTATTATCGACCTCGCTAAAGAGGTTGGGAATGATTCCGGGTCTGAAATATTTATATCTGAACTAACTGCAAGGAATTATGATTACTGTGACGTCGTCAAAGCGGTAAACAAACGTCCAAAAGAATTTTGCCAGCAAAATAACTGGAAACTCATCAGCCACGCTAACATCAGTTCAAAAGGACTTAACCAAGGTAAACTTCACCTCAACAGGGAAGGTAACGAGCTGTCGCAACGGAACTTTGTAAATTTTCTGAGGTTTAATTTCACGAATGTCGATTATTCTCTAGTTTCGCAAACGATGCCAGAATCAGTTGACAACGAAGTTCTTCCAGGTAGTTCGGGTCCTTCCAATATGTCTAATTTTTTACCATCTAAACGTGGTTTCAAAATGGGCTGTTTGAACTTTAACAGTCTCGTCAAACATGTTGACGAACTAAGAGCCCTTCTTGCTGAGTTTTCATTTGATATTCTGGTAATTAATGCGAAACCAAACTTGACGAATCCATAAAAAGTTCCGAACTCGATATGCCGGGCCACGATGGAGGGGTAGGTTTTTACAGTAAGTCCCGCTTCTAATTCTTATATAGTGCGCATCGATCTAAATGTAATTAATCTTGAAAATTTAACTATAGAAATTCGTAAACCGAACTCTAAGCCATTTCTAGTAGCGACATGGTACAGATCTCCCTCTTCTCCAACCGATTTATGTTCGAGTTATGAGTCATTTATAGGCAAGTTATATTCTCTCCACCTTAATTTGTCCTCTCCTACACCTGCTTATCGTTTAATCGAGATTTCACCTCAAGTCTCGTCGTCAGAACAACCAGATAGTAAGGGAAGTGAAAGTATAAATGACATCCCTATCTGTAACTCTGACGAGACTTCCAACACCTTTAACGAACATCTTTCAACTATTAGGCCCAGACTAGCCCGCGAAATACCTTTAACTTCGGACGAGGAGTCTATTTATTTAAAAAATATTCCTGAAAATTACAACAAGTTATGTTTTCGTCCAACTACTACCAGTGTTGTGTTTACCCAGCTAAGCAGATTCTCGAAAACTAAAGCTACAGGACTAGATAACATATCTCTGCTAGGTTGATTCGTGAGTGTACTGATATTATTTCAGGCTCCTTGTAAATCTCTGAAGTCTGGCATATTTCCTGACGACTGGAAATGTGCCAGAGTGACTACGTTGTTAAGCAGGGTAAGTCATTTAAACAACTACCGACCTATCTCAGTCATTTCCATAGTCGCTAAAGCGTTCAAGAGGATTGTATATGATGAGTTATACAACTTCTTAAATAGTGAAAAAAGCATCTCTAAACAACAGTCTGGTTTCCGGTCTCTACACTCAACTGTTACTGCTTATCTAGAAGCCACTGACAGTTGGGCGTTTAATATCGATTGTGGCTACGTCAATGCCGTAGTGTTTCTCGACTTAAAGGAACAGTATCCCGTTATTGCGCATGCACCAACCTATGATGTTTGGACAGGATGTCGCGAAATCAAAAGATGCGAGGAGAGTAAGAGAACCTTGAAAAATCCGTTTGTATCGCGCTTGGCCGAGTTTAATACTATACTAAAACTTGTCAGGATTACAGATCAATGATATATTGTTCCCGTTAAGTTTCAATTTGGGCGAAATCTGGATTTTTTGGCGCTCTTTTATTGCTGTTGGCCGGAGGACCAGAAGATGGGAAGCGCTTTGATGCCGATTGAAGGCTTATTTCTTCTGTTAGCTTCCATACAAGCTCAGATAATTGTGAAAGGAATACGCAGAAATGAAACAGCAACGATAAAGACTGTAAGAAAGAAACCATTGAGACATTGATGTGACTGAGGATATCTTGTGGAGGGGAGCGTCGTGAAAGCTGGCAAGACGCGTCAGCAAACGTTTAAATGAACCTCCCTACGGCCGACAAGACAAATTCAAATAATATAATTTTTGACTAACCTTTGCGACGATTCATAGCGATGAGATCGCATTTTTATTTATGTCTTTCAAACGTTTGCGGCTAGAACGGGAGCAAATCAGGCAAATATTACTGGACTTGGAACAATTTACCTCTGACACGGGTTTCACATTAGAAAAGCTGTTTCTAAAGCGAGCGGAAAGAGATTTTCGGGTCGCGAGGCGGCCCTGCTAGCGATAAAATCGCGATAAATCTTCGTACCGCGAGTCAAATTTTAAATTAGACGAAAGACTTCTTCGAAAGTCTAAAATATTACTTGAGAATATAAACAACAAATCTCCGTCGGCGGTGCGTCCGGAAGGAAATCTTGTCGAGTCAATATGACGGTTCTATTGTCCTTTGAAGGAAAAACAGATGACGCTCGCGGGTGCACATAATCGGGACACTGTCCCTTTAAACAAGGCACTCGACACTGTTGATCATGAGATATTACTAACTAAAATGAATCGGTGTGGAATTCAAGGGAAAACTCTTGATTGGTTTAAATCGTATTTGACGAATCGCACACAACGGTGCTTAGTTAACGGTTGTCTCTGTGACTTCACCATTCTTAAATGTGGTGTGCCACAGGGAACGATCCTTGGCCCTCTTTTATTTCAAATTTATATTCACGATTTGCCTTACTGTCTATCGTTCAGCGTAAATAGAATGTATGCTGATGACACCCACATCACTTATGCTGGTTCTGATTTTCGTTTGATTCATTCTAGTCTATCTCACGAGCAAATGGCTTGTGTCTAACAGACTTATCTTCAACGCGGCTGCAAAAACTGAATTTATGTTGATCGGCTTCAGACAAAAATTAAAGTACTCTATCTGATACACTCGAACTTTTCATTGATAATGTTCCGATGGAACAAGTTTTTCTGAGAAATCACTTGGAATCAGTAGATAGATGAAAAATTTACGTGCCATTCCCACTTTGATAAAGAGTGTAAAAAGATAGGTTCCGCAGTTGGAGCTATAAAGCGAGTTAAGCTATTTGTGCCTCAATCCACCCTACTCGATATATACAACTCACTAGTTCAATCTCACTAACAAACTACAAAAATACAAAACCGTGCTGCACGAGTAATAACTTTACCATACTATGACGTAGATGTCGATTCCTTGTTTCACAAACTCAGCTGGAAACACTACTTGAAATCTAAACGTCAAATTCAGAAAAAAAAAAACAAAAAAAAAAACGCAATACTGCCATAGCACTCAAAATAAAAATTCCCGCAAAGCCGCATCACCGCAAATCTTTACGCCACGCTCCTAAATCGGGTTCTCAAGTTTTTAAACGGTCTGGTTCCCGAATATCTCACGTCTAAATTTATAGAGCGAAATGAATCACACTTTTTTCTGAGGGGCTCGGTAAACAAACTTGTTGTCCCCTTTTCAAGAACTAACTACATAAAAGACAGTTTTTTGTTACCGCGGCTCAACCCTTTGGAACAGCTTACCCTGTAACATTAGAGAGACTGGTTCATTAAATCAATTTAAACGCCTTCTCTATCATAATTTTTAATAACACGGCATTCATAGAAATCAGATTATTTTTAAATGGCATACTGTTGTATTGGAAATTGTTGTACCTGGTGAATTTTTTACTATGTATAAATAAAGATTAAAAAAGAAACAAAAAGGAAACTGCATATAGATTTAGCCAGGCAAGCTCTCGTTAATATCTATAGTTTACTCATTGATAAACAAAATATAAAATTGTACAATACTTAGCGGTGACGGCAACGAAAACAGCCAAAAAATATCAGTTGGTGAATTAGCAAAAAAACAACTTTGCACTTGCAGCACACTTTTTTGACATTTCGTTGCCAACGTGAAACTTCCTGAAAATTCCTAGTTACACGTTTTATGGAGGAAATGTTGTAAATGTTCGTGTTCAATTTTTTCCTCGCTGCCGCTCATTCTCGCCTTGGTGGCCGCTAGCATTTTTCATTTTCTTGCCGCCGCTACAAAATGTTTTTCTTCCAATGAAATTAGTCTCCTTTGTTTTTATCTCTCGCTCTAGCTCATTCTCTGTTATCCACGTCAATGTAGAGATTAAAATAAAGTCGAAAGAAAGAATCGGCTGTTTCTATCCCTAAAAGTCCGGGTGTTTACGTGTTTTACCGCCGCGCAGATGCTTAAAATGCAAAATATCTCCTCGGCTTATACGAACGGCTGGACGTACGTACGGATGATTTTCTCCGGATCAAAACTTCTTGGATGCATAGATAACCAAATTTTCTTAAACATGGCGCTCCGCTGCGCGCGAGAGAGACCTGCGCTAATATAAACGCATCATTTCTGGAAAGAAAGCAAACTTGACGTTTCGTATGTTCCAACATATGAAAGAAGATGAAGATGTAAGACATACGAAACGTCAAGCTAAAGTTTTATTTCTTTTTAGAAATGCCTTTATATTCCCTTCTGTTTATCATTACAGTGTGCATTTGTTTCTTTTTATGCTCACCCTCATCCAATAATTGCTAATTATCCCATACCTGGGGGGACCTTACCTTCCATTAGTCCCACTGTGTCATGGTTATTTCCATTCCTTATCAGAGTGTTGCCATGAAAGTAAGCGCTGTGCAGCAGCCCCCCTGGACCACCCAAGAAATGCCACGAAACGTCATCACCTTTGCACATGCGCAAGCCAGGCAAATTTCCATACATGAAGCCGTTGATATTCCGCATTTCGTTACTTTGCCTGAATCCCCTGTCACCTTAAAAATTAACAGAATTCCGAAAAGTAACGTTTCGAGCTGCGTAAGGCATAATCTATTATGTAGCCATAGAAACAGCGATTTTTTGAGGCGTAAAGATAACATGCCATTTTTACGCGTGAAGACATCGCAGTTTTGCACAAATAGCCTGTTCCAGGCGTTCAGAATGTGGGGACTGTGCAAAGAGATATAAGCAGGAAAAAAAGCGAGGGAATGGGTTAGGGGGTGAAAAAGAAGGACAAAGCGGGTGGAATGACCTTTTGAAAACTAATCCCACCCGGCGTTCCCTGCCTCTCTCCCTCCTTGTTTTGTTTGTTTGTTTTTTCTTACTCTCTGACTTTGCGCCGCACCCCACTATCCGAAAGCCTGCAACAGGCTATCGCACGTAAAGCACACTGGGTTTTTCACTGGGGGAAGTTTTGCAGTGTCGATCGTAATAAAAAAGGATCTTTTCTTTGTAATATACCTGGTAGAACCATAGGAACAAACTCAGCTGCTAAGATTGATCCAGCATTTAGCTTAACAGGGATCCTGATTCAGTACGAAAACCACGTCTTTCCTTTATTAGCTTTTGCTTTTTAGTTGCTAGTACTAAATGTCCACGGATGGCATAGTCTCTTAACTTAGTTAATCATTAATTCACATTAAGAAACCACACAGTGCTTTTGCGGATTTGATTTAAACTAAGACAGACGCAAACTTAAAAAATTCATTGTATTACTAGTTTAGCAGAGTCCACAGAACAAGAATAATTCCCACTGTCAGTGGTCTTGCAAGTTGAATCTCAGTCTCCGGCAGTGAACTGTGATAATGGGAAATTACTCATCCTTTATTTTAAAACGATTCACTTACTTGCGTCTATCGTAGAAGCGTTCCCCGCTAAGTTCATATTTTCATTCAAATACCAAGAAAAACCTTCGTTGGTTAAGGCAAAGCGCAAGCAAAACTCATGATCGACGTCCTTCCTCTTCCACGGCTTATTTTGCTCCAGGGTTCCTTTTTTACACACAATCAGACATCCGATGAGTCCTTTGAAGAGATGTGAAATAATTGGCATTAGCATGGCTGTAAAACGTGTGTCGGTCTTAGCTAATAATGCTGATCGTTGTCTGTTTTTAGTAGGACTAAACGTCCAGCTTTCAACGATAATCAGCTGCGTTAATGAAGCGGGACATGAATCCTTCAGATTCCGTGCAAGTTCAATTCCCACACGTACAACACACGCATCATATGATGCAAAAAAGCGTAAATGATTGAATAAAAGATGGAGCAAACAAAGTTGACTTAAAGGATATGTGGTGACATTCAACACCTAAATGCAATCGTACTGTCTAGTGCTGTTCATAGGGCATTTTAAATGAGTTATATTGACTTTTGCCACTTACTGTAGGTGGAGCACATTTTTTTCTTTTATTCCGGGCGGTATTTAACGTCCTCTTTGAAGCCCTATATACAAGATGAAAGCGATTCCGGAATCCTACCAAGTTTTGCTGTGGAAT